GACAATGTTATATTAGCCCAGTTAGTGAAGAAGATACAGCAAAGCAAGGCTAATATACCATCCCACCTTATATGTTTTTTGCCACATAACAATCACTTCAACAAGGCTATACTTACTGCCAACCATATAAAGGAGAAGTATAACAGCCCATAAAGCACCCCTTCAAAAAAAGGATTCAAGGTAATCAAAGAAATAATTAATAAGGGAGCTCTCAGCCATAGGTACCAACAAAGTCATATTAAAGACCACAACAAGAGGCTAGCAACATAGCAACAAAGAAGCCAGGCCCAGCAAGCCATCAAGCCAAGCCACTCATTTGTATCAAGTGTCACTTTTAATAATATAAAAGAGGCACGTGAGAAGCAAGTGACTAAGGCTACACAAGCAGAGCAACGGCGGCAGCAAACAGCAGTCAAGAGGATGGCTCACAGCCAAGAAAAGGAGGTCCACCAACAATATAGTGCTTCAAAGTATCAGATAGTGGATAGGCAGATAAGGCGACTAACCTTTAAACAGTAGCTGCACCATACTGGAGAAGTTAATGCCTACATTCCGTTCAATACCTCAGATCCTCGTTAACATAACGAGCCAAAGGAAAAATTCACTATCAACATCAACCCTACCCCTTTACCGCAGCATATACTTAATTAATTCAAGTATACAACAAGGCCCCTTAGTCAAGGCAATATTAACCAAGCATTAGCTAATGCTACTACAGAGGCAGCTAGGCTAGACTTCAATCCCAAGATATTTGCAGACATAGATGATCCTATTGATGAAGACGTTGATAAGGCTGTATCTAGTGAAGAATCAGTTGGTATAGCTAGGGATGAAGATAATGACCTTGAAATAGCATTAGTGCCATTACTGCCAGCAACACCAACGCTAGCAACAACATCACAGGCACCATCACAATATAAGTCACAATACCACACAATCAAGGATAATATAAATACCTAGCAAAGCAGAAGCACAATAGAGGATAACCCACTTACCCCCCCATTAACACAGGCTAAAAAGAAACAGCAACATATAGTAGATAATAGTGCCAGTAATAGCACTATTATAGTGGCGATTTGAATTTTTAATTATCGTACAAAAAGGGAAAAAAAGGTACCGTTTTAAAGCCCTAGATTAGGGCTATTGATTCGTACTACTCTTATTATTATACAACGTTGTGGTTATTATGACCTTTTGAATTAAAAAGTAGAGGTTTCTGTGTATAACAGGCAAAAGTGATGCTATTCGTGATATGGGCTGCGACCCCCCTTTTGCTGCTGCGACCCCCCTTTTTTCGCCCCTTACGTGAGTAAGGGGTTTTTAGCGCAGCAGCCTGATGACTAAAACCCCTGGGTAGATAGTGCTCGTGTTTTTTGCAAATCTTGGTCAGAAACCGGATGAGTCAAGGAGCGCCTTGTTAACCCCAAGGGGCTTCGCCTCTGGCCCATGGGGCCCTTTGGTGACGTACGTGTCATGTAAGGCTAGTGAACAAAGCTAAAGTCTACAAGTGGTACCTAAGGGTAAAATCAGGCATTTACGCGTTTGGCGGTCATGTGCGCGTTTATGAGAAAGAGGGTATCCCATCAAGTGCGAATGGACCTCATTTTTGCCAAAGGCGGGATAGACCAATTGAATTCATGAACAGCACTTTCAACCTAATGAAGAGCTCAGAAAAGACGGCTTTTGGAGTTTAACTGGATACTGAATTGGGGATTCCCGGTCTTGAGGTCCATTTGCACTCGATGGGATGTGTCATGGCCACATGTGGCAGTGAAAAGGTCCAGCCCTAATCAGGACAAAACAGAGTGGACGGCTGCGCGCGGCTCCCGGGAAAGGTAGGGCTTTGGTTTGGCATGCAGGAGCCTGCATCCGAGAGGTTGATGCAGGAGGAAAGTGCCCATCTACTAATTGCTGACTAGGATGTCCGACACGCTTGTGAAAGGAGGACTCAGTCATACTGACTGAACCTGTGTTAAGGTAGGTGTTGTTCTCGGCCCGTAGCCAGACAGGTTCGAGACCTAAGCACTGAGAAGGTGGCCTAATGAAGGGAAGCCGATAAACATACCAGCAATTATGCCTGTGCAGAGCATCGGTGTGTCTTGGTCTTTTTCGCCGGTAGGCATAGAATTGGTTCCTTAGCCTCGCCGCAGGAAACCAAGTAGTAGTTATCACCAACCCAGGTTCTTAGCAAACATCGATCTTGTGAGGGGAAACAAGCACATTGTTTGGAAAGTCATTCGTACTCCAAGCGCATGACAGAAGGGCCAGTTGTTATGATTAGCCATGCTCTGATCAAAACGTGCCAGGAATCAGAGAAACATTGAAAAACGCAAAGGAGACCCCTAGCATGCTGCGATGATATCCAATTGAATCACCCTGTTCCTCTGCACGAAGCTAACGAGTTGCATGAGAACCATTGGGGTCATGATTCTCCCATCGCTTTGACTGCGGAAAACGGAACGAAGAAATGAAAAACGAATATTAGTCACGGAGAAGGGAAAATGGGCACCGTTATTCCGTCGGTCTCCCAGTAGAATGTCAGGACAACTAGTATCATGTATTCCCTCAACGTTTTTTGAATGTTTTCGAAAACCAATCGAGGACATCCCTTTTGCTTTCAGCACTAGCAGATGTCAAAGACTTGCCTCTCACTGAAAGCCTCTCTTGGTTAACCTCATGATCCCTCTTCGACACGATCGACTTGTATATCCCTTGTGCCGGGTAAGCAAATATACCGAATGTGGCTGCAAAGTGTTAGTCCTTTTTCGAACCTCTGGATCCCGGGCAATACTGGCCTGTTCCCGACTTAGTAACGAGGCCAATGCTTCCTTTACCAAGACCTTTCATGAAGCCTACGGCACCTTCAGCCTTTGCTCCCTTGTACGGCTCCGTAACCAGTCCTGAAACTCCGTTGTACAACCCCAATCCCAGTGCCTGGCATTATAACTAGATGTTAGTAACCACAACTTGGTGAGGAGGTGAGAGACTAAGACCAAGAACAAGAATCAATGCATAACTAACCTTTCCACCAACCACGGCGCCACTTTTCCAGTCCTTCACCTTACCATAGTCATCAGCTTCCTCTCCATAAAGCCTTGGGACATTCCTCAACCCCTCCGCAAACGCCAGCGGCATATCTAGTAGCGCTCCCTTGGTCATTGCTCCATATACTTTACCGAGACTCTTCCCGGCTGCCAGAGCCGCAGCTCCGCTAGCACTTGCCTTCGAGCCTTGTGCCCCATCTGTTTGTGATTGCTCACGATGCCGCTTGTACTCCTTGAAGGGATCAATGAAGGTACCCCCAAGGGCAACTGTCATGTCGGTCAGAGTTCCAAGCACGGATGAGGCGCCCCCCGTCAACGGATCCCAACGCTGGACGTCGGTGTCATAGAATCGGACGCGTAGGCTGCAAAAGGGCAAGTAGTCAGCTATTGTAATTACAGGGTACATTGTTATAGAATTAGCCCCAACTTACGGCTCCAGTTCTGATTTCTTTATCATTTTTTCAGAGAGGAGCGTCGCTGCCGCTTGGTCGGATAGCTTCACAACGCGCCCCTTCCTTTTGTACAACCAAGTGGCAGGCAGTTGCGGCAACACATCACATATCAAAGCGTCGACTGGCAGATTGCGATGAAGCGACTGGACAGCGCTGTCGACCCCATTTTCGATACGCATCTTCAGTGCAACCTCTTCAGCGGCGCGATGAGCTTGATCTGAGAGACAGTACCGCAAAGCATCGACAAGTTTGTCGGTGGAGAGTGTCTTATGTTGGATTGGTTTCGAACCGGCTCCAATAGAGGCCACTACTCCTCCCCAAAAAGGCTGGCTAACAGGGAATATTCATCAGCATACAACATCGGCTGTCTTTGCTTGTGATTTTAATTGACTTACTCCCCAAAAAAGGGTATAACGATTGTTGGTCGGGCATTGATCAAGCCACAAGCAGTCGTGCCGGCGCCACCATGGTGCACTACCACTGATACCCTTTTGAAGAGCCATTCTAGTGTGTGCGTTAATTATTAGTGATAGTCAATTTGTGGAATGAGTTGGGTTGCCTACCATGCGGGCAATCCCCAAGATAGAATACTTGGTGTGTGTTTGGATTATCACCTCCAAGTTTACTCCAGCCTCTAGAGATAATGACACGGACACCGCATCTACTAGCCGCCTCGAGTATGACATTGGTCAACCTTTGTGGATCATCGATAACGATGCTTCCAAAGCCTACATAAACCGGAGGAGGTCCAGCGCGTAGGAAGGTGTCTAGATCCGATGGAGGATTGTAGATAGGTTCATCCCGCAGAAAGAAGCCACAGACGTCTGTTCCGCCCCAACTCGTCAATTATTGCCGCTAACACTGCCTCGTTTTATTTTCCCATAGACTTACCGATCTCTTGGCCCCAATCTGCAGGTTTTGAAATAATTGCAGGAGACCAACAATATGTGTGAGGAATTTTTAGGTAGGTCGTAATACCAGGCCCCATGCTCGCCTGGATGTTATCTAGACCTAAACTTCTTCGACGCCAATCATTTATGACGTCGCCTAGCCTATGATTACACAACTATCAGTAAGATGAGCTTCAAGTTCTATATACCATACAGACATACCCTTGCCATGTCATCGTCTCAACCACTCCATATGAAAGCCAATTTGCTGTGGACGGTTCCGTATTGTTGCTCTGCAGGTTGGCTAGTGGATGTGGGAAAGCCCTGGTGGCCGACCAAGGCATTGTGAACATGATGTGAACTGGAACTCCAAGTGCTTGAGCGCAGTGAACATGCGCAAAGCTGGGAGGGTTGGCGATGATAGCATTGGCCACAAAAGGCTCATTAGTCAAAGGGTCTGGACGGAAACATGCCTCCCAGCACCCTTGTAACATTTCTCTTATCATTCGACGCTTTCTACCGATGTCCCCGCCACGAAGTGACTCTAAAGACGGAATGAGGCCGGGATTACGAACCATGTACTGCTCGAGTTAGGACGGTCGATGCTTCTATTCGAAGGGCCGCCAACATTACTTACCGCCATCAAATCAGCCGGATCACCTCCAATAGGATAGAACTCCAAGCCGGAGTCTCTCACGAAACCAGCAAAATTGTCGTGCGTCGCAAGGCGAACACGGTGACCATAGCGACGCAAAGCCGAACCATAGGCGATAAAAGGCTGGACGTCGCCTGTAATTCAACGTTAGAGAAGTGGGTTTGACACAACGCTTTAGGTGTAATCATCTAGTTTCCGTGTACTGATGCAAGCATTGTCAAGCAGTCATTTATCAAGTGATGGCCTGCCTCAAGTGCAAAGTTCTGAAATTGCTCTAAGCTGTAGACAGCTGCAGCAAAGCTGGCCACGTTGTGATGCAGAGGAAGTTGTCGGAACAGGAATTGTAACGAACCTCGACTTCCCACTACCTGTATAACCAAATTGAGACGCGGACATGCTGGCCCTGGCTTTTGGAAGTGGGACTCCGGATCTTCTTGCACAATCGGCGGGGGTGGAGAACATCGTGGAAGGAGAGAAGCCAGTTGCTCAGGGTTCTTGGATGAAAACGAGATGGATATCCTTCCATCACCTATAGTTCGTAAGCAAAATCTGACCACTTCACAACACTTCTGTTTGCAGTTGAAATGCATGCCTGTGATAACCGCTGAACTGTCGACAAATTCGCCAGCGGAGTGAAGCTCGTAGGGAGGCGGGACATCGTATGCATCTTGGTAGTCGTGATCATTGGATGTGCTGCTTAATTCAGCTGCTCTAGGATCCAAGCCAGCTTTTAAAGTAGGTGACATATTCGAGTCGTTGCAGTTCACCATCGTCTGGCAAATAGAACAACCTATTTTCAGCAGGACCATAGGAAATGTCGGCAATCTTAATACAACTTACGACATTGGTGTCTCACTCTTTTGCCTGCATACGAATCCGCGTATTCGTCGCCCGCGGATTCCAGTCCCCATATTTCTGGGACTCCCGAATTCGCCAAAGGGAGCAAATTTCTGATTCTCCGGGTGGAGAACCTACGGTAGGCTGGAGCATAAAAAATGATCAGCGTCAATAAGCTGATTGGTTATCGCGCTGAAATGGTCGCTTTATTCGGAATCTACTTTTTCTTAGCTACCGAAGTCTGGGGACAATCTCATAGTGGCGGCCATTCGCTTACCCCTAGCGACAAAATGAACAAAAGAACGGGAAAATGAGGTAAGGTTGGTTTCGGTTGGCACTTATTGTGGCTGCATTTGTCAGTGGCTGTCATCGTTGGTTAATCTACTAGCTAGTGGACCGTGACTCTCATAAGCAATATTACGAAGCAGCGGTTGAAGCCTTGCTCCTCCACTTTAGCGAGATAATTTGACCTTCTTTATGACCTACCATCCTTCCACTGGAAAGACGCTCATTTCCATTTCGTTGAACGTAAGGTCTATCGGTGCTATTCTAGAAATTCCAGTAGGATACCAAAAGGCTCTTGAGGCCATTTGAGCAAAGATACATCCGACAATCAATGACCAACTGAATTAGTTTTCTCAGCGATATGATCTTCTTCTTTGTGGTCACTTCCTTGAGTTTTGATTTAAGCCTCGCAAGTTTACATGCACTTGCAGTGCTCTTTCTTGGACAATTGTTGTTGTGCACAAACATGATGCATAGCAACTAATCCAGCACATTAATCGTTCGAATAAGTGTCAGAAAGGCAATTAGGTCGACATAGTTGTTCAAAGAATCTGTATTCTTGCTTTTCGAAATACATTGCTCTTGAGCGCTTTCACTAGCGAGTCATGTTCAAACTGAGAAGCGGTTGTCTGAATGCTATGTGGTTTACGAGTGCGAAATGAATGGCACATCTCCTCTGGTTGTACGTAGAAGCAGATGTTTCGGGTGAGAACAAGAGGAAGCACTTTTCGATTACGGATCCTTGAATGAGCAGGAAGCAACCAGTGACAATTTGACATTTACTCTCAGAGAAGTTAAGGGTCACGTTTGTTTTCCGAATGAACCAGATCAGTGACGCCGGTTTTGGGGCTCAGCAAGTCCATCAGGCGTCTCAAATTTTGCATGGGCTGTAAAAGCCACCAATTGAATGGGTCATTGGATGGCAGGAACCATCCAGATAAGTATACGAAACCGCGTACACAAGATGCAAGGGTACACCATACCCCACAACACCAGACGAAACGCGATGACCCTCCTGCCAGGTTTCGTTACGAAGGATTGATCTGACAGGGATTTTTGGATTCCCAAATCTGGCCAGAAATTCCAATGGGATGGCAATGGCACCCAAAATACAGAAAGCCTCTACTTACATTCCCCAAACGGTTGAGCCGAAACTCGGTGTCATGAACCCTACTCCGGCTCTTGCAGCCTTTGCGCAGCCACATGGAGTCTCTTGGCTATCCGAAGGCAGAAACAATCAGCGGCAACGTAGGAACAATATTCTGCGTAAACGAAGAACGCGGATTCGGAGGTAAGCGGGTGACGAGAAACCTCTGTTTTCGACTACGCGGAGTCGCATGTCCTACTCAGGCAGTAAGCAACATTGCCCCACAATGTCTCAGGCGCAACTCATCTTTCTACACCCCCTAAACTTTCCCTGGGAAAGTTGTTCTATTCAAAGTCCAGTACAAATATGTGAATGGCCCTCGTCTGAGTATAATCACTGTTCTTCTACTAGTTATTCTACTAAAAGTATTTCTATCTCGCCAACTTCTTCTGCGACTCTTGCATGCTTCTTCGTCTTTGTTTAGCTCATTCTATATCCAGGCAACCAGCATCATAGGGAACTCTTCGCGTTCTTAGGAGGCTGGATCCAAAAACTTCCCGACCAAAGGAAACATCCGAATTATCTCGACGGACAATCTTCAAGTCAACGAGCTTCACTACGTATAGCAACATGTACGACTTTGACCACCATTCGTCCTTGGTGATGGAACCAAGAGCTTCCGCCGCACAAGACGAACCTATTTTCAAACTATACCATTACAATCCAACCATTGCTGGTGCCGTCATCTTCGTTGTTTTATTTGTCGGAACAACGGGATTTCACTTCTATCAACTTTCACGGTCTCGTTGCTGGTTCATGATCCCCTTCGCCCTCGGGGGAATTTGTGTGTTTTCCATCTTAAATACACCTTAATCAAGCCTGAGATCCGCTAATCTCTCCCGTTATAGTGGAATTGATTGGCTACGCGGCCCGCGCCCGCTCCGGCCAGGAGTCACCAGACTGGACACTAGTCCCTTACATTATCCAGGCTCTCCTCATCCTCGTCGCTCCAGCCTTGTTCGCCGCTACGATTTATATGGAACTTGGCCGCATCGTAACTTTGATAGACGGGGAAGACCTGACTCTCGTTCGCAAGGCATGGATGACCAAGCTTTTTGTGTGCGGCGACATATTGTCCTTCATGGTCCAAAGTTCAGGTATGTGGAACAAGTAGTCATTTCCTAGCCTGCCAAAGCTCAAACTTTGCGTATAACTAACAGTTTTTGACTAGGTGGTGGCCTTCAGGCCACTGGTGGAGCGTCAATGATGACCACAGGTGCAAACATCACCGTCGCGGGCCTCTTTATTCAGCTCCTGTTCTTCGGCCTTTTCATCGTTGTCGCCGTTGCTTTCTATTTGAAAGTCTGTCAATATCCTACAGCTTCGTCTCACAGAGTCGCCTGGAAAAAGCACATGCTAGCTCTCTTCATTGCCAGCTTGCTTATCATGGTGCGCTCTGTGTTTAGGGTGGCTGAATACCTGCAGGGTTTCGATGGTTACTTGCTCAGTCACGAAGCATACCTATATATTTTCGATGCTTTGCTGATGTGGCTTACTATGGTACTTCTCAACTGGATTCATCCGGCCGAGATCCTTGCTTTACGTTTGCGGCACATTAAAAAGCAGGCTAATTACGTTATGGACGACGTTCCCAGCGGACACCACAGACTGAGGTCGGATCTGGCGTAGCGGTTATCCATAAAGGTTGACCAATGTCATACTCGAGGCGGCTAATAGTATAATGATGAAAAGAAAGGCATACATTTGCGTCAACTCGATGCGTGGGTGAAGTAGGTACTTTGATATTGGGCCAGATAATCCAGCACACAATGCTTTGCTCAAGAACCGACTAAGATCATGAAGAGTTTTCTCCAATCCGCGTGGACTTGTACCGTCCTAGTTTCTTGTCATCCAACTTCATCCCATTTTTCACAGACTAGGCTTGGATGTGATACCGAAGAAATGCTTGGACGAGGCTGTACCTACAGAGAAACGGGTATGACTAGGCAGGGAGTAATGTTAGCGTTTGAGACTAGTGATAGCCGGCTCCGCCACGTCGGACACGCGGCACATACACGGAGGTTTCCGATGCGAGCTGGACCCGTCAAATTCTAGGGGCTTTAAATTTGCCCCTCTCGCTAGACACGCTTACTTTTCCGAAACCAAAAATTGTCCGCGTTTAAGAGGCAACCAGTGGTAACCAGAAAGCATTCTCGTGGAAAGGATTGTCCGAATCAAAAACAGCAGCTTTGCGGTTATATCCTTTCTACCATGGTCGGCCTACGACGTCATCACAAAAAATCTCGCAATGGGTGTCATGAATGCAAACGAAGGAAAGTCAAGGTACATGTTCCCCTCTCGCTCCCCTTTTCATCTTTCTTCTCAGCCGTATAAACGTCGAGAATGCTTTTTTTTCTCACCTCAGCTCACCGAATAACGCAGTGCGATGAAAAACGACCGTCCTGCTTCAACTGTTCAAGGCTTCACCTTCCCTGTAGTTTAGCAACGACAGGCACTTCGTCAGCTACTACGCCTTCACAAAGCCCTTCTGAAGGGCTCCTCACAACATTCGACAGGACAGGCATATCTCAAGATGCCGTGAATGCAGCTATTAACGACGACTTTCTGAGTTTCGGTGTTGCGGTCGACGCCGGCAGGGTTCCTCATTGGCCTTTCAACAAGTCGAAGGGCCGTGAATTGGAGCTCATGCACCATTACTCTACCTTTACCTGCAATACTCTTGCTCTGCGAGAGGACATGAAGCATGTCTGGAGAATTGTTATTCCTCGTGAAGGTTATTCTCATCCCTTCGTCATGCATGGCATTCTTGCGTTATCTGCATCGCATAAAGCCTATCTGATCCCGAGCGACCGCGAAGCATACCTCACAATTGCTGCACATCACCAATCATTGGGTCTAGAGGGTTTCAGACCGCTTTTGACTAATGTCACGGAGCAAATTTGGAAACCCGTTTTCTGCTACGCTACTATTGTAGCACTTCATGTTTGCTTACTCCCTGCAAGATCAGACAGAGGACAATTGTCAGCTCCGGTTGCCAATACCCTAGAAATGATCCGCTTTGTAAGAGGGATTCGTTCTGTTCTCCAGCCGTTCATCGAATACCTTCCACGGTCAAATTTTGCTCCGCTGGCTCAGGGCGTCTGGATAGTCCAACCATGTGAGATAT